TAACTCGTATGAAATGCTGAGATATTTGCAAAACTCCGGACCACAGGTGTATGCAATGGAGAACGAACACGCGCTGCTCCCCGGTAAGGACAACAGCGCGTGTTCATTCTCCATTGCATACACCTGTGGTCCGGAGTTTTGCAAATATCTCAGCATTTCATACGAGTTAAATGTATGCTGTTTAAAAACCTCGCGATTGCTGAACAAGAAAACGACACATTCATATTCCAGTGTCGAGGTTAAGAGAAAGTCGATCCTGGGATCTATGCAGTTCTTCAACCAATCGCTTCGTTTATGAACCCTCTTGGAATAGGGTCCTCACCCAATATTACTGAATGCAAGGAATATGTCACCTTTCTGGGTTGTTGGTCAAATTGCTGCACCTGCTGCATTAATCAATACTATTGCAAGTTGTTGCATGCTTAGGTTATTGAGAAGTTCGTCTTAATGGCAGTTAATTAATGTCTTAATGAATAACATGTGACTTTATCCAATTCGCCTTTGACTGGTTGTTTTCCTAGCTGAGCAAGTTTGTTCTTCTTCCCACTAGTGGCGAGAAAGTCGTTTGAAAGGGTTTTCAAACCGTCTTCAAAGGTATTTACTCTGTTATTCATCGCAGGTAGGCCTACGTCGTGACAACTTTTCCAGAACGACAGCTATTTTTTGAATACGTTTGTCTTAAGCTATTTCTTATAATGGGAACATGGATTCTCCAATAATAACAACTTTTTCGTACGACTCGGGATCACATATTGTGCCGACCCCAGCATTTCCTTCATTGAATTCGTCTCTGACAGCCCCTCATCTACGACCTTTTTAATTTTGTGTGTGAATTCGGATGCTGCTCAAGAATGTCTAGTTTTTTTTGTACGAAAGTCGTTGAATACTGATCTAGCCAATTCTATATTTTTCTTCAATAATCAGACATGAGGTTGTTATTATAGAATTTATTAGGATACAATAGCCGACGTTTCGGCGGTTTCGCCTTCTTCAGGGCCTGGAAAGGTCAAATTGAGTTGCGATCTACCCAGCAAAACACCCTCACAACCCTAGCAGATAAAACTTAACAAATAAATTTGTATTCCCATAAGAACCAGCTTCATTTAAACACCTACCGTTTATTTGTTGTAAGTATTTCAGTAAGCTGGTGGATAGCAGCCGCTTAGAGTAATAACATGGGCGATAACTGTGTCTGTGTCAGGTCATTGGATTAGCCCGAGGTATGGCGCCAGGTCACGCGTGATGACAAGACACTCCTCCTTGCGGATCATCTTTGAATCTTCGGAATTGGTCCAAAACGCTTCAAGAATTTTGCGCGCTGATGCTTCTGATTCGTGCGTGAGGATAGTGACTCCTACTTCAAAATCTTCTCCGTTGTGTTCCTGCATCCTATGCGCGCCTAGCGGAGTGTTTGCTTTTAGTTTAGATTTACCGACTAGGTGTTCTTTTATGCGGACGCAGAGCGGTATACCCGTTTCGCCAAGGCATTCGTCCCCGCACGTTTTACAAGAGATCAGATAGACTGTAGTCGAACTCAAGCAATCACCGTCTCTACCGATAAGGCAAATTATGTAGTTTTTCGTTATACATAGACGGTCATATAGGCGGTTGCGAATTAGCTGGCGTCGTAGTGTCCGATGGTATATCTATCATGGCTTTCGAAGCCATTTTGTGTTGGAGCCGTTTTAGTATAGGTTTAATGAATAAGTGGAAATATGTCAAAATCGAATTATCAATCAATGCCGAGGTTAGAAGGAAGTCGGCCATGGGAATTGCTACGTGAAGTGCCAGCAGAATGTTTCCGACACGTAAAAGAGGTCCCGCCACTAAGGCAAAAAATTGTCTTAGCTAGACAAACGATACTCTTCCTCCGCCGCTGCCTGAAACAGCGAGTCGTGCCGAACTTCATCAAACGAAAACGACCACACGATATGTGTGGCCTACGGAGGGACAGCCAACT